GAACTGGTGACGACTGACTCACTTTGTTGTCGTGTCTAATGTTGAATTGTTAAAATCGCGCTATTAGGTCGAAAGGTGCTGAGAAAGCGTCGTTATTACGCCTGAGAACTTAGCAGATGTTTAGCTCCCAGTTGTAAAAGTTGACAGTTATTAAACAAAAGTATAGCTGTACTGTGATCTTATGACACCGTGGAATGAAGGTAGAACTACAATGTAATATTATGATGAGATGATATAAACACATTCGAATTCGGATCCTCACAACGTGAAAAAACTGCATTTTAAATATGTGCTAATTTATAGGTAAATGCAATGAATTATTACACACTAAAAATAAGTGGATAGCTGGAAAGTGAAATAATATTTTTATGTAATGTTTATTTAAGTATAATTAATAAGCCATCAATGAAGGCTATTATTCGCGTTTCTTACTTAGGCCTGTTATTAAAGTTGTTCGTTAAAATACCTCATTACATGAAAAATAAATATGTAACAATAATTACAATACATTATATTTGACACTCACTTTTCTATATATAACTGTGCAAAAAGCTATCTTTAATTTCATTCCATATATATCTGTGATATAGTAATTAATATTATATATAATCGAATAAATTGTTGTCATTACGAAAAGTCCCGAAACTGTTACATAAATATTGTATTGATTACATCCCATTCTCATGTCGAAACATTGAACTGTTAATCCTGATAAGTATGCTACACTTGCCATTACCACTGTTTGCTGCAAATATAAATAAATAACAGTTATTTCGTTAGTAATAATATGTGCTTAACGTATCTGAAACTAATTGTCATAGTACCTGGATGAGTGCAAGTAAAAGTATTATTAAGTATTTCCATCCAACAAATCGTAATAATGCTTTCAATATACTTGTATTTTTTTTCTGTAGTTCCTTCTTCCACTCTCTGTAAAAAAATTATAGATTAACCCATCTTCAACCGAAAAGGGAGTCTTTTCTCAGGGTCAAAAAGAATTAGCGGTTTATCGACATTTGCAGTCGGGATAAAACCTGTTCTATTACTTTCGTAGAACAGAGTGAAGAAACATTACTTATAAATATAGTATTTTCCATTGCGTTTACTTTTTATTATTAAATCAGAAAACAAAAATTAAACACATTAAACTTATACCTGCTATATTGTATCTCAACGTACACCCATCAATATGGGGTTTGTGTTAAATTTCGCATGAATTTCTAATGTGTCATGGTGATGACAGGAAACCTGCATTTTCTTATTGAAAAGCAATAGACCAAGTCTCTCCCCACTGTGAACGTCAATAATTTGATATTTGTTCAATATGTAATAATCTGGATGACCTCTAAATTATTCTCACATGAAATCAATCCCTATCAACTTATTTAATTTTTACTTAAAGGTTATTTTAAATTTTATCGTTTCTAAATATTTTTAATATAACCTAAAAAGGTTACAAAAACTTCAACATCCTGCAAACAAGCTCTATAACGCACCCTTTAGGGAGAAATGAGAATGTTTTGCTTCCTTCCTCCACCCCTTCTATCATAGAATTTTGCACATCACGTGGTCAAATGACACAAGGATACATCCTGTCAGGTGATGAATTTCTGGGAATAATGATTTGGCAGAAAATGTAGATAAAAGGGCGAAGTTACAGACACTCGGGGCAGTTCATCCCAGATAGAATTGCCATGTAAAGGCAATTTCATCCCAGAAGGAACATGCCATAGGNTTTGCTGTGAAGTAGACTCAACCGCATTTCTACTGTTGTGGGCATAATGTATGTCTGATTTGAAATTATTTAACATTGTGTTTGTAATTTGCAGATCCTTGCAGCAGAAGGTATTTTCGATAACGTTGCTTTGATTCTTTTAATTGCACGATAAGATTGCTATATTGTATCTCAACGTACACCCATCAATATGGGGTTTGTGTTAAATTCCACATGAATTTCTAATGTTTCATGGTGATGGCAGGTAACCTGCATTTTCTTATTGAAAAGCAATAGACTAAGTCTCTCCCCACTGTGAACGTCAATAAATTGATATTTGTTCAATAACTCTGACTCTTCTTGTAAAAAATAGGAAAAGTGACAAAGTAAAAACAGAAAAATTTTTCCAGTATATTAATAATAATAATAATAATGTTTAGTTTTAATTTTTATTACGATTTTCTTAACTTACGTTTCAAATAAATCACCAAGATACTCTGAAGTATGATATTTTGAAGTTTCATATAAATCTTCTTCTTTTAAAAATCGCTTTCTTCCTTTATTTATTATTGGAAAAATCCAACTGAAAAAGAAATAATTCGTTATTATTGTAAATTAAAGTGCTTACGTTAAGAAGTGCGTTCAGAAAGAGTTAAGNTTTTAATTATAATATTATGTAAAGAATTTAAAAATTTGTTTTTTGGGCATTTTCTATAATCGTACCGTTTGGAAAATTTGCAGTTTATTCTCATCAGTTAAGGACATTATTTTATCTCATCTAAGAATAAATCATGACGATGTGTGCAATGGTGTTTTAGTTTCTGGTTATATGCCATTCTGATAAATATGGAAATTAGCAGTTTATAAAAGTGCATTAAACCGCAATAATTTTCGTGCTTTGCATACATACACTAAATTTCCTCAAGCTCATGATCCAAAAAAGTTAGTAGTAGGTAAAAGGAAACTGCAATGTTACAAACTATTTATTCAGCAAGTTTCTCCACACCTTCCTGTCGTTTGCTTCAAACACATTCACACCTGTTTCAACACACTTTCTCACATTTTTTTTCTGACTCAACACGTTTCATTTTTTTAGATATTTATCCACATGTACAAACCAAGACGTTCTTGGCCATCCCCCCATTCCATTTCTTATCTCAATCCCACATGTATATTCTCTTTAACAGTTTTCCATTCATTTTCTTATAATGGCCCCACCATCGTCGTGTTAATTCCTCATATATTCAAATAAACTCGCTGTGATCCCACACTCCTGTAGCATTTGTTTTTTCACCATGATTTTAACCTTCTTGTTGTTAGCAGACTTGTATGCTTTCTGGACTCTGTGGTTTTTGTCAGCAGCAGTTTGCGATAATACGGATATAAACACATTAAGTAGATCAAAGGGTAGTGACTAGACTCTACCCTCTGACCTCCAACCTGAATTGGTTCTTCAGCTTGTAAGTTATGCATGGGACTAACAATTCCGTAATGTAAAAGTTTTACATTCTTAGAAGAAGGCAAATGGAAATAAAGATGTTTTGCATATTTGTATTCATATTTTAAAAAACTAAACATAAAATTATTTTGTAATAATAGGAATAACTTTGACCAACAAAACAAGAAAAACCTACTTTGAAAAAATTCGATAAAAACAAAAATTTTTCGATTTAACTTTTGAATTTCAATCTTAAAATTTTGACAATAGGTGTGGCTAGGATTATATAGCATACCAAAGGATGGTGGACGTACAAAATACATTGAACCGAAGTTACAGTAAAGTTATGAGAATAATGAGGTAGGCATCAAAGATCATTCCTGTATGTCACGGATGCTGCCCGAAAGTGAGCAGTACAATACATTACACTATTGTACATTTATAACTATTGACTCTGATTAGATGTCTTTAGTGCCATATGTATGAGATAGGCCAGGAACACACATGCGTAAAATTCGGCTTAAAATCTAGCATAAAACAGAAAACGTAACATTTTTTCTGAAATTTTGGCTAAAACAGAACTGAAAATAAAGTAGAGCATGTCTGTACTTTTTATACCGAAATATCTCCAATAAAGAGAAGTCTTTTCTGTGACGTCAAAGTAGACACGTGGTTTTTATTCTAACAATGGCGGCAATGAGGGTTAACCCTACAATTGTAACAGTCTCGAAAAAACGAAAAATAAATGAAATAGAAGAGTGTATTGAATCCGTACGACCACATCAGTATCATGTATAAAGACACTATATTTAAACAACGTCTATGGATGGCTATAGGTGCAAAATTTCAAATAACAGGTAGGTCTAGTAGAATCGATATATAGGCCTAGTATTTAGATCACACGTTCTTTATTTGAATTCGAAATACGAGTCTATTAATTAAATTGTCTATATTATAGCAGAGGAAGCGAATAAAAAATGGAAGGTACAAAGGGATATGTGAGAAAAAAAATTAATAAAATGTAGCGCTGTTTGTGGCAGTGGCGTTTCCTATTCGTCCAGAATTTTTACGTATGTGTGAGAATACGGACGAGGGTCCAGGCCCTCTGATCGTCAGATCAATTAGACCTGCTCACTTTGTCACTAGATGGCTTGATTTTGAACAGGACCCGAGTGGTAAGATCCTGTGTGGGATTGTGCATAAAGAACGAATATCAGACAAGAAGGACATTAAATATGAAATTAACAATTTAATTACAGAAGACCAAAATAACAAGAACAAATAATATAATAATAAAACATAAAACATAAGTCTAACCTAAGACTAGGGACATTCCTCTTATAGTAGATAATTTGATTAGAAGTAACAATAATACTAGCAAATAGTATAAATACAAATGTAAAACATGAAAAATACAGGACTTATATCCTATCGCGAGACTAGGATCTATCCTTTCAATCGAGAGAGTGAGTTCACAAACATCAGTTACCTCGTTGGACATGTCAATGTCCTCGTTGGACATTTGACATGTCCAACGAGGACATTTGACATGTCCAACGAGGAGTAGAATTGGTCTAGGAGTAGAATATTCATTCAGTGGTGGAGGAGTAGCACCAGACAAACCTCTATGGCAATGTCCTCATTATCTTGCTGGCTGGTCCCTATGGCAGGTTCCTTCCTTTCGTGGACGGCCTCTGGATGGCAATTTGGGAACAAACTGCCCAGAGCATCTGAAAACCTGCCTCTTTATCCCTCTTTTCTGCACCATCATGATTATCCGAAATGATGTGTCATTCGATTAGATGGAGTGCAAAATTCTAAGATACGAGGCGTGGAGGGAGGAAACAAAACATCCTCAGTTCTTGGTAAAAGTGGCATGACAGAGCACTTTTACAGGATGTAAAGTTTATAACCTTATTAGGTTATGTTTTATTAATTATTTCCAAATTTTATCGTTTTTAAGCTTTAAAGTAATATTTTTTTTTCCCAACTCTGTTTAAAGTAAAATTATATAAATTGATTTTGAGAATCCCTTCGGATTATCACATATGTGTGTTCCGGCATAAAAGCGTAAAACAGAAACTGAACCGAAAACTGATTTCTGATTCAGTTTTCTGCCACACAATTTTACGCGTGTGTTCCTGGCCATAGGGTTATGATTTTTGAGTTCGTTTGTATTCATGTATTTTGGATATGCATGATCCCCATGTGGAGTCTGCATCTATATATGTAATGTTTTCTTTAATGAATTATTATAAGTTATTTAAGTAATGCCGTGCTTGTAGTAAATATTCGTAATTTCTCTGTTATGGTTGTCATTGGAAATGTCTTGCTATATAGATTTCCACGAGTGTTGTATTGTTATATTCAAGAAATCTTTAATCTTTCATGAGAGCAAGTGTTTTTGAATGATAATATTTCTCTCGTACATCGTATTTTAGCTATCAGGATTTTGAAAGTTTTGTTTGAATTTGTCATGTACTTACTTTTTCCCCTTAAACTATACTAAATATATGCATCATAGTTGCTTTTATTTTTATTGTAAAAGTACTTTCATCACACATTTTAGAAACGTGTGATTAGATTTATTAGATTTCACTAAGATTAATGCAAAATGATTGTATCTAAATATGGGTGTATTGAAATCCAAAAATTGAAAACTACAGTATATTATGTGGAATACTTTTTGCTGTTTACCAGTAGTTTACAGTATTTACGGAAAGTATTCTATCTCCAAAGGATTGAAGTTCAACATACATAATTGACATCATATCTAAT